GGAGGGCGCTGCCTGGAGAGCTGCGCCGGGGCTGGCGAGGGGGAGCAGCAGGGACTGCGGTGCTGCGCGCTGCCTCCTCGCAGTGCCCGCGCAGCGGGCCCCCGGCACCTGCGGGACTGCAGGGCCAGCGGTGCTGGGGGTCGGCTGCTGCCTCTCAGCCAAAAGCCACCAGTGGCCAAGGGGCAGGGGGAAGCAAGGTCCTCCCCATCCCAAGGATGTCCTTGCAGCCAGAAATGCCCCTCGCCGGCCAGCCCACCTGCATACCAGCATGGGTTTGTTGTCCAGCTCTGGTAGCAGGGGCGGTCCATCAGCAGCCCAAGACTGTTGGTGGCCTGCAGTCCTCCAAAATCCAGAAGCGAAGCTCTGCAATCCACGCATTTGCAGCCTTGACCACGCGGGTGCATTCAGAGGGTTTCCATGGGGCTGCACGTACCTGTTTCCCTTCCCGGCCCACAGCTGTCCCAGGGCCGCTCCTGGGCTCTGCCCCACTGGGGAGGCAGGACAAAACTGTCTCTCTCACCCCGCTGTCGGCAAACAGCTTTGGGCCCACACGCTTGAGTACGATACCCAGAACAGCACAGATCCAGCGAATGGCGCTGCTGCTGCACACAGGGTTATTCCTGGGTATTCGCAGCTGGTAACTGTGCACCTGGTAGTGAGGACCATATCCTCAATATTCCCTGCTTTCTTCAGCATGCAGGACGGATGGGCTCAGCGTTACCTCTGTGCATGAAATAACAGGGCTGGGGGAGTGTTCTCTGGTCCTGCAGCCAAAGGGCAAAGACTGCCTGTCTACACGGCACAGCACATTGCGCTGGGTCTCCTCCGGACCACGCGAGGAGTCCAGGCCCTGAAGACGTAATTATTGCTCTGTGTGTGTTTTGTTCAGTTTGCAGTGCTTGCAGCAGCAGGAGGCTGTGTTGCAGCCCATCACAGTGCACTTTTTGTAGCATGATACGTGTTGCGTGCCTGGGGGCTTGCCTGCCCAGCGTATGGGGTGTTTGAGGATGCAGAGCTGGCTGGGAGAGTGTTGGAGGAGTGCAAAGAGTAGTGTCAAGATTGCTACTTGTCACAGGCCTAAACCATGCCGGGGAGCATGTTAACAACTCAGAAGTGTGGACAACCAGTTCAAGCTTGCTCCCGTGTGTTTAGGTGCCTTCTTGGGCTTTGGGTGTGCAGCGAGGGGGGGTTTGCAGCTGGACTGGTTGCTCCTGGGGACAGATGCTGCTTTGGTTGGGATTGCTTAAACTGCATGGCAGAGCTCTTCCCCAGCCCTTTCCAAGGGCTCAGTTCAGCCCTGGTTGGGGTCTCTGCGGTGGTGGCAGGTTCCTCTCCCAGCCTGTCCCTGCCCAGCTACTTGGTGCGTGAGGTTGGCTCTGCCCCAGCTCAGCCAGGCTGGGTCGAGAGCCCTGATCCTGATTTTGCTCTGCTTCTCTGGAAGCGGCTGACGCACGACAGTGTCCTAGGGCTCTCGCTGCCTGTACCTCACCCACGTATTGCCCCACGGATGTTGCAGGATGGAAAGGGCTGATTCCAGAGTTTGCATCACCCGGGGACCTCACGGGAGGAGTATGTGAGCCCCGGTCACCTGGGGTGAGAAGCTGGCAGGGAGCTGGAGCAGATGCTGCGGACGGCAGCCGGGCTGTGCCGGGGAGCAGAGCCTGGATTATGAGAGGAGCAATTGGCACGTGCAGGCTGGCAGGATGAAGGCTGTAAGGGGATAGGATTGCTGTTTATAAATACATCAAGGGAGTAAACACAAGGGAGGGAAGAGAGCTGTTTAAGCTAAGGGACAGTGCTGGCACAGGAACAAATAGTACAAACTGGCCACAAATAAATTTAGGTTGGAAATTAGGAGATAAGTGAGGCACTGGTCTGAACACCCCACAGGAGGAGCAGGAAGGGAAAGCACAGCTTGGAGACTTGCTGTGCTGGTGGAGGCAGCTGTGTGCTGCTGTGTCTGTGGCAGCAGAGACGGGAAGTGAGGACCTTGGGTCCCGAGCCGGTTGCACCCTTGTCACATCCACACTGGCTCTGGGGGCTCTGCAAAGGCTCTGGCTCCACGGCCCCCTCCGGCTCCTGGTTTGACTGGTACACAACTCCCTGGGCCGTCGGATGCAGGGACATCCATCGCCAGCAGTCGCCTCTGCACATGCTGTTGCAGATGCTGCTCCTGAAAGCAGGACGGTGCCGTTGCCCCATCTGCTTCCCTGCCATCGCTGGCAGCTCTGGGGTGGATGCCATGGGAAGGGCATCGTTCTTGCACACATTGCCTTTGCCCCGTGTTTCTGACCTGCCTCACAGCAGGGAGCGCTGGTTTCCAGTTGGTGATCCTGCCCGGTGCTGGGGCGCTGGGGCCCACGCTGGCCCCAATGGGCTGGCCTGGCAGCAACCTGCTCCCCACGCCCTGTATCAGCACTTGGGTTCTTGCACCAGCTCTGCCCAGCCAAAGGTGAAGCCCGTGTCCGGCAGCCGCCTGCGGCACAGCTGAGTGCTTGGTGTACCAGCAGCGAGCCTGCTTGGCACCAGAGGGGCTGAGCCAGCC